ATAGAACTACCATGTGATCTAGCAATCCTACTACTGGATATATAAAGGAAATGAAGTCATATGTCAAAGAGATATCTGCACTACTCTGTTTATCACAGCACAATTTGAGATAGCCAAGATATGGAATCAACCTAAGTGTCCTACAATGGATGAATGGATAAAAAAATGTGGTATATAAAATATTATTCAGTCATAAAAAAGAATGAAATCCTGTCATTTGCAGCAACACGGATGGACTTGGAGGATGTTACATTAAGTGAAATAAACCAGGCCCAAAAAGACAGATACCACATGACCTCATTCATGTGAGGAATCTAAGAAAAAAAAGTCGGTATTATAGAGGCGGAGAACATAATGATTACCAGAGACTGGGGACGGAAAGCAAGGAGAAGCTAGCTAATAGGTACAAAATTACAATTAGAAAGAAGAAATAAGCTCTGATGTTCTATTTCACAGTAGGGTGGCAATGGTTAACAGTTAAGTTTTGTATGTTACATCATAGCTAGAGGAGAGGCTTTTGAATGTTTTTGACACAAAGAAATGATAAATGCATGATGTGATTGACAAATTAACTACCCTGAAACAATTATTATACAACATATATATGTGTATCAAAACATCAGATTGTACCTCATAAGTATGTACAATTATATTGTGTAAGTTAGAATTTTTTTTTTAAAAGTGCCTTGGGGATACAAGATGATTCCATACGGAGAAATAAAGCCAAGAAAAATACTTAAATGACTATGTAAGAACACACATAGATTATAGGGGCAAAGTTGGAAGTAATTTCTTGAGCTCTTGTGTTTCTCATTCTCTTACCAGTTATTCAGCCCCCATTCTGTTTGCGTCTATAATATAATATACCCAGGGGATTTATAATTACGATGGTCTCCAAAAATATACACACTTGATTAGGCTAAAGCAAATTTCTCAACCTTGGCATTATTGACATTGTGGACTGGATAATTCTTTGTTGAGTGGAGCGGACTGTCCTGTGAATTGTAAAATGTTTAGCTGCATCCCTAGCCTCTTCCCCCTAAATGCCGGTAGCGAAAATACTACCATGCAATGCCAAATGTAACCTGGGGTGCATAATCACCCGTTTGAGAACCACTGGATTAAATCAACCATCTTTAGTTTGTTCCTGAGCTTTACAAGTTTATTTTAACTCCTACCGCACTATTGTAACTGCTAGGTTTTAGATTCAGTGAATAGATGCATAATAAGAACTATTTACTAAGATGGGAAAAACCAGGAGAGGAACAACTTTTGGAGGAAAATCGAGGGATCCAATTTAAACATATTATGTTTGAGATGTCTGCTCAACACCTAAGAAGTTAAGTGAGCAGTTGTCTGTACACATCTGGTGTTCAGGAGATAAATCAGAAGTGAAAGATATAAATTTAAGACTCATTAACATACAGAGGATATTTCAAGCCATGAAACTGGATGAAGATCACCCAGGGAAAGGCTTTTATTGGAGAGATGTGAATCTGGAATCCTACTGACAATTAGTGGTTGAGAATGAGAGGAGGAGCCAGCAAACAGATGGAAAAGAAGCAGCCAGTGAAGTAGAAGAAAAGCAGAAGATTGTGATGACCTAGAAGCCAATAGAAGAACATGTGCCATGAAAGAGAGTGTGGTCAGCTGAGTCAAATCTGCTGAAATGTTAAGAAAATTGAAAATAAAGTATATTCATTTGATCTTACTCAACTTCTTCTGCAGCTCGGGGTTTGTTGCTACTTCTATGTGGTTCCAGAGTTACATATACATGTTGTATAGTATCATTTACCATATATTGTAACTGTTTTTTTTTGCCCCCTGAATTTCATATCCCCCCATTCACAATACAGACCAGGCACAAAGCCTGGGCTGAAGTGTATAATTTACTCAGTGTAAGAACACAGACTGTGGTAAGCACCAGGAGGCCTTACTGTAACTATTTTAATCATTATGGCTCTCATTAGATAGTAAGATCCAGAAGCCATGTCTGATTGGATTACATATGTAGCACAGTGCCTGGCATAAAGTAGAATCTAAATAAATATTTTTTCAATGGTGAATGAATGAATGAACCAAAGATGTACAAAGGCCATTGACAATCCTCCTCCTTCCCAAATGAAAAATAAGAAGTATCTGACTACTCAACTCTAGGTATTTCATCAAAATTCAACAACTGAGGTCCCCAAACAGTCACACTGGAGGCCATGAGGTTGGTCTAAATTCACAAAAATAGTGCAAGAACAGGGGGAGAATGGAGGAGACATTCAAAAATATTGGCCTGAATTTATTTCAGTGCTTAGACTAATGTAGTCTACTTGCTTTTCCCCAATATACTTATGTATTAGCTTCCTATGTTTGCTGTAACAAATTATCATAAACTTGGTAACTGAAAACAATACACATTTAATCACTTCCAGTTCTGGAGGTCAAGAGTCCCAACTCAGTTTCACTAGACCAAAATCAGTATGTCAGCAGGACTGCACTCCCTCCAGAGGCTCTAGTGGCTCATTGTCTTTTCCAGTTTCTGGTGGCTGTCAGCATTCCTTGGCTTGTGGCTACATCACTCCAGTGTCTGCCTCTATGGTCACATTGCCTTCTCCTTTTCTAGGTGTGTAGTATCTCCCTCTGCCTCTCTCTTATAAGGATATTTGCGATTGCATTTAGAGCTCACCCAGATAATCCTGAATAGTCTCCCCTATCTCAAGGTCATTAACTTAATTACATCTAAAAAAGAAAGCAACACTCTTTTCTCAAATAAGGTAACATTTATAGGCTCCAGGGACTGGGACCTGTTATCTTTGAAGGATATTATCAGCCTATCACAATTTACGTTTACATTTACCCACTCTGTGCTCCAAAGTATGCTAACCTAGTTATTGTGATTCACAAAAATTTACAATACACTCCTTCAATCCAAATTCATGCTAAACCTGGAAAATTATTTTGACTTTTAAAATGATTTTATTTTACAATAAAAAATTTTAATTGTTTTCATTCAGTGATAAATGCAAAGTACTGCATGTGGATCCTAAGATGACCAAGTTATTAAATGATCTGGGGATCTATATAATTTGAACAGTAGTTGAAAGGATTGCCTATGTTGAAAAGAGAAGAAACAAAAAGGCTTTAAGGAAAATCATATAGCTTTCTTCATCTATATGAAGGTGTTTTACAGAGAATAGGGATTAGACACATGCTGTATAAGTTGAATCAGGAACAATTAATTGCAGGCAGAGAGAGGCAGATTTCAATCTAATATGAGGAAGAACTCAGAATGGACAATGGAAGGGTCTCCTTCAGAATGAAGTCCCATCCTAGTTCTGGAAGTGTTTATGAACGTTCAAAGGCGCTGAGGAGAGATGCACATTACCTTAAAGCAGAGGAGAGAGGTACACAATATGTCCTCAGATATAATTGTGAGGATATTTTATAAAAAAGCATCTCTTTAATGTTTGATTCTAAATAAATCTAATATTATTCCTCAATCCATTTTTTAAATTACAATCAATGTAATTTGACTTTTAAAAGTCAAATCTGATTATGTCAGTCACCTTGATTAAAACCCTTCATTTGTATAAAGGCCCTTTCAGTACTGACCCCTGGCCTCTTTGCCAGTCTCATCTGGAGTTTTTTTTCCTCTTTGCATTCTGGTCATACTTTCAGCTGCTCAATTTTAGATGCTCCTTCCTACCTCAACCCATTGGACATGATGTTCTCTCTCTGTTTGCAAAGCTCTCCTCTCTTGCCTAGGTTACTCCTATCCAAAGATAACTTTTCTCCAGGAAGCCTTCTCTAGTATGCTAAATCAGTTGGGTTCCCACATATGCTTTCAAACTACTTCACACTGCTTCAACAAGATGAAAACATTCATTATAAAATTGACTATGTCTGTCTTATCTGCTAAAATGTAAGCTCTGTGAGGACAGAGACATTGTATCTTGTTCAGCACAGTGCCTGGCATATGGTAGGCACACTCAAATATTTGTTGAATGAACGAATGGGTTTTTTTTTTTTTTCTTTTTTACTTGGTTTGAAGTGTGAAAGAAGTCTGATGAAAAAGATTGTGTATGCCTGACAACAGATTTCTAGTTGCAAAATTTCAAAAGTACCAGTATGGTTTCCTGTAGGAGTATATTTCATGAAAGGAGAGGCAGATAAAGAAAAATAAGCAATTGTTCAGCAAACAAGCTAGGTACATCAAGGTGGAGTCAACATGGAATGGCAGAAGCTTCATGGAAGACAGAAACACTGGGAAGCCAAGGCATAACGGCTTAAGATGTGTCATTCACTCATTTTTGTCTTCCATGAAGCTCCTGACATTCCATGTTGACTGTAGATTTGTTGACTGTAGACTTGCCCACCTTTGAATTCCCAGCACAAAGTGACTTACACAATCCTTGCCCTTAACAAATCTACCGACAATGTGGAGAGACAAATACTTAGCAAAGTAATTTCCAGGGAGTGTGGTAAGCGCTGATAAAGGTGCACTGGTGTTACGAAATACCTAGTTTAGTGGGGGGTGGTTGGGAGGGATGGAAGGACGAAGGGAAGGATTGCGTGGTCAGGAAAGCCTTTCTGGTTTAAGCCGAGACCTGGTGGTTTGGAGAACTGAAAGTTCAACAGCCGTTATTTGGGATTATACACAGGAGATTCAAGGGCACCTTGGCAGATTTGGCTTACAGTTACTCCTGGTGTGACAGGTCATTAGCTTTGTGAACATTCCCTGGGCAAGAACGATAACGTTCTGCCCCTCACTCTAGGTTGCTTCAAATTACTGGTTCCTAGTCCCGCAGGGCCCCACCAACCGCAGCGCGGTGGTGGCCCGCAGACAGCCCGGTTCTGCCCTAGACTGCACGCAGACGCTCACGTCCAACTTCACCCCGGGAGGAGGGGCCAGAAGCCCCGCCCACGTCCGGGCACGTTCTGCTGGGCCTAGTCCCAGGAGCCTCCCGGGCTGCGGCGGTCACGTGACCCGATGTGTGACGTAGGAGGAAGGAGACGCCATTAGAGGGAGGCGGAGAGGGAGGGCTCTTCGTCTTTCCTCTGGTGCCTGACGTGGTGGCTGGAGCCCTTCATTCTCGGACTTTCCCTTGGCCTCTCCAGGCCTTGCTGGGAGGAAGGAGTGGAGACGGCGCCCGGGACGGCGGGCCCGGTGCGGAGCGGGCTGAGCCAGCCGCGGCTGTGAAGGCGCTTGCTGCGGTGTGGGGAGCTCGGTGCGGTTCTTCGGCCCCGGCGGTCGGGAAGCGACGGGATGGCTGCGGCCGGCGGTGGCGGGGCGGCGGCGGGCAGAGCCTACTCGTTCAAGGTGGTGCTGCTGGGGGAAGGCTGCGTAGGGAAGACGTCGCTGGTGCTGCGCTACTGCGAGAACAAGTTCAACGACAAGCACATCACCACCCTGCAGGTGCGGACCCCGGGGAGCGGGAGGTGGCGCCTCAGGGCCTCTACCCTCCGGGACAGTGAGGGCTTCGCTGCTCCGTCCCCTGGATCTGGGCTGGCAGATTTCAGGCCTGTCACCTTCGGGTTCGGATCGCCTTTCCGAATTCGCCTTGGGGATACTCTGGGTTGAAGCAGCTTGTAGACGTATGGACGGGCTGTTGAGAGGAGAGTGGAGGGCCCTGAAAAGTCCCCGGTGTCTCCCGTGGTGGCTGCGCATGTCTTGGGGTTCCCGTCCGTGGGCTAGTTTTTCCCCTTTGATGCGCTTCCTCTTGGGCCCTAGGTGGTGTCTTCACTCTACAGTTTCCGAGTGTCAGCTCTTTTTCTTTCTTTCAGAATTAGGAATTTAGCTGCGGATTTAATTTTGCGAAATAGATGATTCGCAACTTCAGAGCTTTCTGATGACTAAGTGTTTATGCAAGTTCCATTTTGTCCAGTCTTCGAGTAACAGGAATGGCAAAACAGCCATTTCTGGAGGGTTTTTGAAATGACCGCTCGCCGGTGCGGGTTACGCAGTTTCATTGCAGCCTGCGTGGGTCTGACTTGCGGTCACTCGTATTCTGCGAGGTCGGTAACCAACGTTGAAACGTCCCGTGAGTACCGGCCAACAGTTGGTTCCCAAACTAAAGGCTTAGCCGCTGATGCTATTCATTTTCGTTACCTGTAACATAAGGTCCGTTTTCTCCTGCAGTTATATAGTATAAGTGTTAAAATGTAATGATTGAGAATGAAGGCAGGCCTTTGAGGAAGTTGTAATCTCCCCGCTGTCCCAAAGAATTCAGTTTTAATGTGTTAGAAGGAATTTACCCTGCTTATCTGATTTGATCAGTTTGATCAGAGGCAGTAAAGTCTAGTGGACTTTTGAGCCTGATTGTTTAGGTTCATGTCCCACCTCCGTCCATTTAACTAGCTTAACCCGTCTGTGCCTAAGTTTCTTCTTCTGTTAAAGTGGCCGTAATAGTATCTAGCTCAGAATAAATATACGTAAAATTGTCAGAATTTTGTTAGAATAAACATACATAAAAGCACTTAGGACCTGGTCCAGTTAAAGCTTTCTGTCTTTATTATTACTGTCTCAACTTGCACAATAGATCTTAATTAGTAATTGCGTAGTGTGCAAGAACATGGACGCTATTTAATAGAATTCATAATCTCATAATTGTGATATTTGATGTATGATGCTATTATTAAACTACTGAGTCTAGAATTTACAAAGATGCTCTGCTTGTGATTCCATGTTCTATTTTTACTCTTATGTTTTTACTGTTATGTAAAGCGTTATATATGAAAAAGTGAATACCAGGAAACTGCATTTTTTTTCTTAAATCCTGTACAAGAGCACTAACAAAATTTTAATAGTTATTGTTGGCTGTTACTAGTGAGAGCCTTGTGTTTTACATCAAGGATAAGTACTTATGAATAAATACCATTTGGAGGCTTAGAAACTTATTTAGGTAAAGTAATAACAATAGCTGACATTTAGTGAGTTCTTACTGTGGTGATTATTTTACTTGCCTTCCTTCCGTCATTTAATTCTTATAACAGCCTATGAAGTGGATAGTTTTATTAGCCCCATTTTCCAGGTGAGGAAACAGGCTTGGTTAAATTGAGTAATTTGCTGGCGGTCATATTGCCACAAGGCAATGGTGCAATGGTGCCCAGGTTCGAATTTGAACCCAGATCTGACTTCAGATTTTGCAGTTAAGTCACACTGCCTCTGGATATTAGTAAACAACCCCTTTAGTTTTCCTTTGTACTGAGATCTAAGATAAAAGAGAAAACTATTGTAATTGAGATCTTAATAAGTTTTTTAAAAAATAAATTAACCTTCAACCTGACATTTTCTCTATACATTTCTAAAACATCCTCGAAGCTAAAAGCAGGCTAAAGATTTTTAAATATATGAGAGAAGCCATTGCAATCTATACAGGAGAGGATGAAGTTATGGTTGATTTTCAGTATCAAAAGCACCACAGTCCTGATTTTAATATCTATATAACTCCCATCACAAACAATATCTGGATTATATTACAGTGCTGAAGATTTTGTTGCATACCAGTGTATGAAAACAGCACTATATCTAATCTCCTCTTAGGTATCAGTTCACCTCATCTTAATTTTTTTTTTAGAGAAATTTGATACATGTAATCTATAAGACATAAACTTGTATGCTTTTAATTTCCACAGGGAGAGGAAATCATGCATCGGAAGATATGAGAGGAAGAATTAACCTTTTTTTCTTGTCAACATACTACCTATCTTTGTAAAATACTTTGTGTACACTCTCATTCATATTTCAAAGAATTGTGGGACTGACAGGAACCTAAGGTAGTTTATGTTTCACTGTTTCAGTCTTGTTTAATATTTCAGTCCACTTTTTTTTTGACATCTTGGTCAAAAAATGAGATGAACTGATATCATAGAAAGTGGCAAATTCACTGTGTCCTGTAATGGCCCGTTTTACTTTTAGACAGGTCTAACTTCCAGTAAGCTTTTCAGTGTGTAAAGCCAAAATCAGTTTCCTGGTAGTTTCCAGTCCTGGTTCTGCCCTCTAAATCTTGGTCTCATGTGACATCCCTTCTGATAGTTGAAAATAGTTATCACATCCCCTTGAGTCTTGTCTTCTCTTGGTTAAACAGCTTTAGTTCCTTTAACTGGATCTCCAATGACATCGTTTTAAATCCTTTCACTACTTTGACATCTTTTATAGACACTCACTATTTAATCATTGTTCTTCTTTCCTTGAAGTGTGATGCCTTAAGCTGTAGCAGTGATTCCACTGAACAGAGAAGTGCAGGCTCACTTCTCCTATTGAGAATCCTTTTCCAACAGTGAAGTAGAAAAGATTCTGTGAGTTTCTAGGGGCAGCTGGCACATTGATTAACATTGGGTTTGCTGTCAGCTAGAACATCTTAGTTTTAATTGCTTTGAAAAAAGGTGTTACCTCCCTCAGATTCTCTTCTTTGATTTTGTACTTAAATTTTTTCTTTTGTCCCTAATGTACTTGATCCATTAAAGTTGGCTTTGATACATTTGCTCCAGTGGTTAAAGCCTGTTAATGTCCTTTTAAATCTTGATTCTGCAATCATAAAACATTGATTGGGCTCCTGTGAGCCAGACACTGGATTGGGTCCTGGACACGCAAAGAAGAATAAGGCATGGAACCTACTGTCTGGATAAGCTGCTTGTTAACTTTGTCACCTGGAGATTTGGTAAGAATGCCTTCAGTGTTCTCATCAGATCATTAATAAGGACTTTGAAAGAAAGGGAAGAGAGAGGGCCAAGTACAAAAGCTTTGGAGCAAGTCTTTCTAAGGTTCAGTGATGCATGTCCACTTGAGGTGTTTCTTCTTAGACATGCAGAATTTTCGGACGGGGCTCTTTCAGACTATAAGGCCATAGGCTCTTTTCCCCTTAAGTGAGAAACAGTTATTAATGCAGTGTTGTACATATTAATGATAATGGAAGCAGAAAACAGCTTAAAAGTGACTGCCATGGGTTAGTACCTACTGGACACAAATCCTTCAATGAAATTTAAACAGTTATTCCAGCATTACAGTTCTCCTAACTTTTTACCCTAGCCACATCAGTCCTGCCCAGAAGGGTTATCATGAGATGCTTTGTCAAATGCTTGCAGAAGACAAGATATACTGTGTTTATACCAGAGCTATTAGGAGGCCACATGGTGTGGTAGAAAGAAAAAGGACTTTGAAGTTATACTTGGGTTTGAATTCTGACTTCCATTTCATAGCCATCATGATCTTGGCAGGATATTGTAATGTCTGTAAGCTGGCTCCTTATCTATAAAATGGGTGTACTTCACTCAGGACTTCTATGTGGATTACAAAGACAGCCATTATATGTAAAGCTCCTAGTGCAGTGCCTAGCTAATGTTGTTTAATTAATGTTTTCTGTTGAACGAATAGGTGGTGCTTGATTTATGTTTGTTTCTTTTATGGTAACTCCATCAAAAAAAGTAATGGGATTAATTTGAGATTAATTTTGAGAACACATGCTATCTCTGAGGCATCACTACATTTTAAAATAGCTTTTAGATGAGATATATTTTTTTTAATTAAAAAAATTATTCTAGAGTTTTGACTGGGATTGACATCTTTGAAATTTAGTTTTTTGATAATTGTGACTTTGCCATACTTTGGTGGTTTAGTACTGCTCTCTTTTCCAGAGCTTCTTCTAGGTTACTGATAATATGGAGTAAACTTGTAGGTAAGCTCTCTGGTCCAAGAAACTTGAACTTATATAGAGCACCAAGGCTCTCTTGTGTGATTTCCTCACTGATCTGAGGCTTTGATAAACTTGACAGAGACAAGAAAGACAATTGGAATGAGGGAGTTACTGTGTTTTCTCTGGAATTTATTAAGGCAATGCTATTGAATCTAAGCAATTTAATTCAAGAGGCATTTATTTTATACCCATTATATGTCAAACGTTGTATGAGCTGAAAAGTATAAAGATAAGTAAGGTACTTTAACCATCAGTTAGTTTTCTTAACTTTATTTCTGAAGGATTGTGCCATTGTGGTTGTAACCACCCTCCAGTTTTTGGTATGGCCTCTTTATATCTGCACTCCTGGGTGATGGATCTTTTTTTTCCTTATTGAAGGTTATGCACTCTAAGTGTCTTCTATCACTTTCGACTAATCTCTTATGTAAAAAGTGACATTATTTATAATTAGAAGCAATAGTTGTCTTCTCTTTTAGGATTCTAACTGTAGAGCTGTATTCTACCTATAGGTGAAATTCTATCTCTCCTGAAGTCTAGTGTAGGTGCCTAACATTTGATTAGCAAAGTAGTGCTGTAAGGTTGGCTGGATAGGTAGTATCCTGAGAGTTAGACAAATGAGGAAACTAAGAGTTGGATTAAATTTCTGAGGTCCCACAAATAGAAATAGTGTGCCATTTTTTCTTAAGCCAGATCTACTACTTTTTTTTTTTTTTAAAGGCACCTT